ATTCTAGCTCTGAGGCCGTAGAGCATGACCTTGGAACCTCATTCTGCTCCTTACAGTGTTACCCAGATTGAGCCCCTGTAGGAGGTGTCGTTATACTTGCTATCCGTTAAAGTAAAGCTTCCAATATCCGTAATCTCCAGTCAGATGAGTTATGAAGTTAGCTTTCTCAGATGAGACCCACTATTGTATTTCATTCAGACAAGTGTCGTCCTCTCAACTGTGTCATATGATTCATTCCTAAAGTAAATTCAAGAAATACTCTTCCTTCTCTTGAGCATCAAGTCTAACTTCAGGAGCACTGACAGTCTCAGGGCAGAGAAGTCATATCTCCTATATTGAGATCTGCTAGGCAGCCAAATGACCACAGATACATAAATTCACAAAAATTCTGCATACTGGTGAATCCGATCTTTAGTCAATACTGTTTTTTTAGCAGAAGTATTCTTCCATGTCTTAGTGTTCAGGGGAAGGAGCATTAAATTGGATGTCCATATTTAATGGATGATCCTAGTTTGTCCACTGCTGTGGAAATCCCATTGTAATGGATTTGTTAACCTTCAAATGACGAAGTATAGGAAAATATATCTGCTTACCTGAAAATTTCCTTTTTTGAGTTTTAAGATCCACAGATTCAGCCCACCCTAGAGACCAGTGGATTTTCCAGAATAGGGATGGAAATTGACATCCAGCTATTTGGTTCTGTTCCATTAGGGGGGAAATTATCCTGGTTGTGGAAGTTGCCTCAACTGGAGGGAACTTCAGGTGGCAGTGATAGACAGGTCTGGTTCTGCCCCTAAGCTGAGAGCAGGCTGCAGTAGCCATAGTAATAGATCTGTGGACCTTTCTGCTCAAAGAAAGGACATTTTCAGGTAAGCACAAATAATAGAAAATGCCATTTTTATCAACTGGATTACTCTGGTCAAGCATGTGGACAAGGGTGATCCAGTTGATGTAGTGTACTTGTACTTCCAGAAAGCCTTTGACAAGTTCCCTCACCAAAGTAAACTGGGTGCCCGGGTGGGCCACACTGAGAATGCAACATTCAGGGCAGACTGGAAGAAATAGGGCAAACAATCCTGCCAAACTGGTGGAGGGTTTTCTGTAATTTGATTACCAAGCCAGTAACAAAAGAGCTTCTGCAGTACCACACTGGTTAACCAGAAGCCAAACACAGTCCTCTTTCGGCATTTCAGCCCTTGGTTATAACAATTTCCAGACAAACAGGTTAACAGAGTGAAGAGTTCTTGAAAACCTAATTCATCATATGTGAGGTTCTTACTAATCCCAAAGGATCAGACACTTACTCCAGAACACTTACCCAAATATCACACTATCAGCCAATCCTTAGTAAACTAACTAAAGATTTATTAATAAAAGAAAAGAAGAGTTACTGGAATTGTTAAAGAATCATATACATACTAGTGATTTTCAGTGTTCATAGATCAGAATTGTAGCAGTGATGTTATATCTCCTGGCTTGCAAAAGTCCCTTTGGAATTATCCCAATAGGTCAGAATCTAAAGGCATCTTAGATGTAAAGTCTGTTAGTTTTTCCATGGATTTTCCAGGGTATTCCAAATAGCTACTTGGAAGATCTCAGTCCCAAAGCTTAAACTTTCCCTGTTTAAAGTTTGGCAGACTAGAGATGCAGGATCAGGCCCAAGATTTCACTTTTATAGCTCTCCAGCAGGCTGCCAAGCCTCCTCAGTGCTTTTCTCCTAGGAAGAGTAGGCAGTGCAGATAGTTTGTGAACCTTTGTTCTGAAAAAACAACTCGGAGTCCTTGTGGCACCTTTGTTTTGAAGTTAATCTTTTATTTCCTATGCATACACAGGTAAACTAGTTACACTCATTTACATAATGAAATTATCCAGTCTTCCATTATAACAGAGATAGATAAGCTGTAGACAATGTAGGTAATATCAACTTCCTGCAGTATCTCACATCTTTGATCTTAAGGTTAACTGAACACAGTCACATACATAACGTAAGACAATTTAAGACATGAAAACAGACTTAGAAGCTAAAAGCTAATTTGATTACACTGATAAACTTCTAACAAAATATAGATAAACACAGGCAAATATACTTAGCATCTACCCTTGATGTCTGTTATGAATGAGTTAATGATTGTTGTGGTCTAAGAGTAACAGCCGTGTTAGTCTGTATTCGCAAAAAGAAAAGGAGTACTTTTGGCACCTTGGAGACGAACCAATTTATTTGAGCGTAAGCTTTCGTGAGCTACAGCTCACTTCATCGGATGCATCCGATGAAGTGAGCTGTAGCTCACGAAAGCTTACGCTCAAATAAATTGGTTCGTCTCTAAGGTGCCACAAGTACTCCTTTTCTTGTTGTGGTCTAGTACATCTCTTAGAAATTCACATACAAGTGAATTATCCTGATACAATTGTAATGCCTCCTGTTAAGTTGTTATGGGTCCTGCATAGGTTGGCTGGTCTGCCAATGTCACAAGAGATAAGAGGGAAAGTCCTCTTTTCAATCAGTAACTGATTAGAAGAGGGGTGGGCAAACTACAGCCTGGGGGCCGCATCCGGCCCTCCAGACGTTTTAATCCAGCCCTCGAGCTCCTGCCGGGAAGTGGGGTCCGGCGGTTGCCCTGCTCTGGTGCTCCAGCCGGGGAGCAGGGTCGGAGTCTTGTCCCACTCCGCATGGCTCCCAGAAGCAGCAGCATGTCCCCCCTACAGCTCCTACTCATGGGGCAGCCAGGGAGCTCCGCACACTGCCTCTGCCCCAAGTGCCGCCCCCGCAGCTCCTATTGGCTGGGAACCACAGCCAGTGGGAGCTGCAGGGGCGGTGCCTGCGGGCAGGGCAGCGTGCAGAGCTGCCTGGCTGCACCTCTGGGAAGGAGCCAAAGCGGGGACTGGGAGCTGCTTGAGGTAAGCGCCGCTCAGAGCCTGCCCCACAACCGCGTCCCATGACCCAACACCCTGCCCCAGCCCTTATCCCCCCTCCCCCCCTCCAAATCCCTCAGTCCCAGCCTGGAGCAGCCTCCTGAACCCCCAGCCCCACCCCAGAACCGACACCCCCAGATGGAGCCCTCCCACATCCCAACCCCCAATTTTGAGAGCATTCATGGCCTGCCATACAATTTTCATGTGGCCCTCAGGCTAAAAAGTTTGTCTACCCCTGGATTAGAAGGTAGGAAACAGAGGGTGGGAATAAATGGTCAGTTTTCACAATGGAGATTGGTAAATAGCTGGGTCCCTCAAGGAACTGTCTCTCTGCTGTTCAACGTGTTCATACATGATCTGGAAAAGGGGGTAAACAGTGAGCTGGCAAATTTGCAGATGATACAAAATTACTGAAGATAGTCCAAAGCTGGCTGCGAAGAGTTACAAAGGGATCTCACAAAACTGGGTGACAAGGCAACAAAATGGCAAATGAAATTCAATGTTGATATGTGCAAAGTAGTGCATATTAGGAAAACATAATCCCAACTATACATATAAAACGATGAGGTCTATATAAAATTAGCTGTTACCATTCAAGAAAGATCTTGGAGTCATTGTCTCTAGTTCTCTGAAAACATCCACTCAATATGTAGCTGTCGTCAAAAAAGCTAAAAATGTGAGGAACCATTAGAAAAGGGATATATAATCACAGAAAATATCATGATGCTGCTATATAAATCCATGACATCCGCACCTGGAATACTGCGTGCAGATCTGGTTGCCCCATCTCAAAAAAGATATATTAGAATTGGAAAAGGGGCAGAAGAGGGCAACAGAAATGATTGGGGATTGGAACAGCTTCTGTGTGAGGAAAGGTTAAAAAGACTTTGATCAGTTTAGAAATAGAGGTGAGGGAAAAGGGGGGATATGATAGGGTCTATAAAATCATGAATGATGTGGAGAAAGTGAATGGGGAAGTGTTGTTTACCCCCTCATGTAACACAAGAATCAGGGATCACTCAAAGAAACTAATAGGCAACAGGTTTAAAACAGGCAGTGCTACTTCACACAGCACACAGTCAACCTGTAGAACTTGTTGCCAGGGGAAGTAGTGAAGTCCAAATGTATAACTGGGTTCAAAAAAGAATTAGATAAGTTCATGGAGGATAGGTCCATCAATGGCTGTTAGCCAAGATGATCAGGGATGCAACCCCATGCTGTGGGTGTCCCTAAACGTCTGATTGCCAGAAACTGGATTGGATGACAAAATAGATCATTCAGTAATTGCCGTCTTCTGTTCATTCCCTTGACGTTATCTGGCGCTGGCCACTGCCACTATGGCCATTCTTATGTTTGTGTTTAAGTGATAGGCAGGGCTGTTTCTAGTTGACTAAGGTGTCCCATCCACCGTGAAGAAAACACCACACCAGAAGACCAAATTACAGTGCTATATTCCCCGCAGTTAGTTTGCAGTTAGAGAATAGGTGGGGGTACTTAGATAATGTCAGGTAATTAATTTCTTTGAAAGTTAAAATATTTCCTTCATCTGCTACCTAATGACCTTAAAATTATAACCAAGTTTAGCTAACTTTAAACATACTGATACATATCCTGTCACGCAGCAGGCTGTATCAAACAAACATCCAGTATAAACAAATACAGTTTACTTTCTTGCTGCCTGCTAGGCAAGCTAATGACTTGAAATTGTAAATCATATTATTGATTAATTATTGAATCTGACTTGAGCTGAAAATGAACTGTCCTGCCTCAGTTTCCTTTAAATGTCACAGGAACTGCAGAAATAAAAAATTGGATTTGCCTACCCATCTTACTAATTTACTAAATTCTTTCTTTTGCTCCAGTTGCCAGTTGCACTTTGTTATGTACTTTTGGAAGAATGCACATATTCTATATATATATTCTCTGAAAAATAAAGTGCATTGTACAGCTAATGTTCAGTGACTGTTTCCAAAGAAATTGAGGTCAGAGGCCAGTGTCATTTCTTGCCTCGGGTCAGGTTTTCTTTGGACAGGCCACCTCAATTTTTTTTCTAGCCTGCTTGTAAATTAGTGATTTTTTTCTCCCCCCAGGTTGGAGAACGTTCAGTATCCCTACCAACTCTACATTGCCCCTTCTACCAGTAGCACAGAGAGACCCAGCCCAAATGGCCCGGATAGACCTTTTCAGTGCCCAACCTGTGGGGTCCGATTCACCCGCATTCAGAACTTAAAACAGCATATGCTCATCCACTCAGGTAAAGAAACTTAACTGTTTTGAAGAATAAGTAGGTCATGGATCTAGGACGCTTGCTGTTTTTACAGCATGCTTAGTACTATAACTGTTTTTAAATGAACTGCTGTATGCAAACTGACTTTTTTTTGCTTCAATCTCTTTTTCAGATTTCTAAAAATTGGGATTAATCACTGTGTGCATACCTATTTTTCCAACATACAGTCTAGCTGTGTTGCTGAATAATTAAACTTTGTATGGATGAAAACATATTTATTAAAGTTGGTGGAATAAAACATTCATACAGTAATGGGGCTCCTGCTTTTATGGAAAGGTTTGAGGCAAAATCAAGATGTTAAGCTGCGTCACTCAGGGGTGTGAATAATCCACACCCTGAGCAATGTAGTTATACTGCCCTACGTGCTGGTGTAGACAGCGCTATCTTAGTGAGAGAGCTTCTCCCGCCAATACAGCTACCACCTCTTGCGGAGGTGGCATTATTAAACCGAGGGGAGAGCTTTCTCCTATTGGCTTAGAGCGTCTTCACCAGACAGCAGCACAGCTGCACCAGTGCAAGTTTCTAGTGTAGACAAGCCCTATGAATCCTTTGCAAGGGTTGTACTGCATTGGCTTTTTTTATTATACCAGTCTCAAGTGGTGTAGATTGGAGTTCATCCTTGGATGTCGGGAATTGTCTGGTGTGTTGCTTGAAGAGACTCATAAACCATAAGAAAGCTGTGACCAAAGCCATTTTATCCAAAGCAGGTAGCTGAGATTAGTAGTTATGTCCTCCTGTGTCTCAGAAACTTCTGCAGGGATAGGTGAAGGGGAGCAATCAAAATGACTAATAAATTAAGTGGTTGCAGTCAGTGTCATTTAGCAAGAGTTAAGTATTAGGTCTGCTGCTTTTGAATCAGCCTTTCTCTCCAGATTTCTTTGCAGCCATTTTCTTTCAAACAAGTGACCAAAGGATGAGCTGTTAATGAGGTTGTTACTGTTTGTCACCCAGAGATTTAACAGTGTAGGATTTGGTAGATCAGCATTAACTGTGTCTTTGATAGTCCAGTGAATGTAGAGATACTTTTAACAGTTACAGTGCAGGCCTCTAAGATGCCCCTTATAGTTGTATACCAAATGGAATTTGTGCCCGTCAGTCAGAATGGTTGATCCTTGCTGATGGTTTTTAAGAAATCAGATTATAAATAATAGTTTCGATATTTTAAACATGTTTATGGCTGAAATACACAATAAGTTATATAAAGTGTATATAGAAAGCAACTTTTGATGGAGTTAGCCACCATTTACCTAATAAAATGTTTAAATCTATAAAAGTCATTTTGATATAAGAGAAATTGGATCCTTGCAATTGAACAGTAACAAGTTTACCCTCTCCTGAAGAAGAACCACAATTCTCAAGGCACAAGTTTTTACTAGCAACTGTTACTTAGCCCAATAATGATCCATTAATGTAGTTTTTTGGCATTTGACAGTAACAAGACAACCTGCCTGTGCATATTTGGTTATTAAATTGTCCCAGGTAGGCTGCTAAAATTTTAAGATATCCATCAAGCATGCATAAAGTATTTCAGCTTGATCTGTTAGTGGACAGATGTCAGTAAGACTTGCATGGGAAGTTGGAAGATATTTTTTACTAGCTGTTTTTGAGTTACTCGTGTGAGGAAACCTCCAATCTGTAAATGCCAGAAGTATTTTCCCTTAACTCAATTGGCTGAAGAGATTTGCCTCAAACTTTTCAAGAAAATAAATGCTTTTGGACAGAGACCAAGCATGGAAAGTTTCAGCCCCAAAGGACAATATTTTAGAATGTTTAGCATGTGAAAGCAAGTTTATAAAGAGACTCAGTTTAACCTTAACTGTAGCTTTCACTATGTTGGAAGCCACAATTAAAGGAGCTCACTTACACATGAGGAAAGCAGAAGAATTGACAAGTAAGGTTAACAGCTTGGACTGAAACAACATCCTTAATTTAGACCATTTAACATTTTTTTTCTTTTGAACTATAGTGTGAATTGAGGTCAGAGTTCCAGATTCTTGGCCTGAATTCTGTCAGACCATTTAATAGGACTTTTTGTGGTTTAACCTTTTGTATAGTATTAGTGCTGGTAGTGATGTGATTGTTTAGGGAGAGCATGTTTCTCTCAGCCATACGCATTCCATTGCAAATTAACCGCTGTTGTACCGTGTACTATTTGTATTCACTCTGAAATGAGCATGGTCAGTAAATGATGAGAGAGTTGGTAACAAGGCTTCTAAACTGGATGTAGGACAAAACTCAGGGCCAGATCATCAGATGTGTTAATGCTGCTTTGTGCTCCTTTGACTGTGCAAAGCTGCATTAAGGCTTACTTACCTGGTCCCCAGAGGATCACCCCTGTATGCAAGCATCCACAGGTGGCATAGAGCTGCTGTGTAGGCTCCTGTACCACAACTCCCTTGTCAGGCTCCTTGCATAAGCTAGGGTATCCCTATGGCCAGGCAGTCCCTTACTACCAGAACTGCTTATTGGGGCTATAGACAGTTGATGAAACTTTCTACTAAAAGCAATTTAAAGGTTGCTGTGTTGCACTGACCAGCCCAGCTCAGATCAGTCCAAGATCAGGAGACAACAAAGGTGGTTTATAGGTTCTGCTGCATCAAACACTCTGGCTGCAGGTCAGTTGGTCAGTTGCCTTGGTTTCTAACCCACAGAAGCCTTACAGCGGGTTTAAGTTATATAACGAAGAAGGACTATATAAGGATCCACCTTGTCTCTCTGTATAAGGACCTGGTCATTATAAAACTTCCTTGTCATCTGATTGAGACAAATATCAGGTTTATGCTAATCGCTTCTGCCATTTTAAAGATAACCTGTTTCTCTCCTTCTTAAATCAGCACTTTACTCTGACTGGTCACAGCTGCTGTCCTGTTGAACAGAAATTGCCAAATGTGACCTCCAGTTGCACAAAGTAAATATTCCCCCCTCTTTTCCCACAGGCATTAAACCATTTCAGTGTGACCGTTGTGGGAAAAAGTTCACCCGAGCTTACTCGCTAAAGATGCATCGCCTGAAGCACGAAGGTAAACGCTGTTTCCGGTGCCAGATATGTAGTGCCACTTTCACTTCCTTCGGGGAATATAAACACCACATGCGGGTTTCCCGGCATATTATCCGCAAGCCTCGGATTTACGAGTGCAAAACATGTGGCGCCATGTTCACCAACTCTGGAAATTTAATCGTTCACCTGAGGAGTCTGAACCATGAAGCGTCAGAGCTAGCAAACTACTTCCAGAGCAGGTGAGGTGCACAACAAAAACCTAACAGGGGAAACTTGCTTTTTCTAAATCATCTCTTCCTGCTTTCAGGGCAGCCTGCTGTTCCTCTCATCAGGTTGCCAGCTAATTGCAGTCACGTTCATTCCTGCACTACTATCTGTAATCTCTGAGCTGCTTTTTAGTGTGTATAAACTGTATAATAAGGCATTGAAGAATCTAGTAGTTTCGAAAGACTGCTTCTTAGTGACTAGGCTACTTCTCTTTCCACTAGTATCTAAAAGCACGTTAATAGTGCTAAAAATAGCATTATATACCACAGTCTGTGAGTTTTTATAAATTATTTGATGGCTGTATCTGAAAGAGTTTGGACTGTCTGTTTAGATGGGGGGTGGACTTATGACCTAATTTTTTTTAAGTACTTTTTATTGAGGGAAGGATTTTATTATGAGACTGCATGAATCCAGATGATCACATCTTCATTCTCATTTTTAGGTTTATTTACTGCTAAATGATCACGTTTTAAAATTTCCAACGTATTAATCATACAGGCCTACTGCACATTTCTTGTTAATCAGGTAGTAAAGAATTGGCTTAACATACAAAAACATTTCACTAAAAGCTCTTCAGAGGCCTGTAAATGAGTCTTGAGGAGTTAAAGTAGCACAGTAATATCACACTAATATGGGATAAGTGTTTATAAACAAGAGATTTTTAAATAGAGGGATAAGTAAATGAAAGTGAATGAGGGGAACTCTAGAGAGAGGGAGACTTCATTACTGTTAAATATTTAATCTTCTGAGAACAAGTTAGGTTTTAAAAAATAAAACAAAAGTTCCTTCATTCATGGTAATGCAGATGTGTACATGTAAGTAGGCTGTTTGTTTTAAAAAGTATGAAGTAAACCTGTTATAAGTTTATTCTTTGCATCATAGCAACTAAAATTCCCTAGCAATAATCTGTCAGGTGTTTTCTAGATGTCATATTTTTTTTGTCTTATGAAAGGTTTCAACATTTTGTTTGGTGGTTAGTTCTACACCACTTGTATAAAGAATTCCAAAAGAACATAAATCAGGAAATGTTTGCTTGTCAGCTGTCTTTCCCTGAAAATATAGTTTAAAAGTACAAAGTTCAGTACCTTCTGGTGTGTGCAGTTCATTGAGGGTACCACTTGTGCCAGAGGTAGCATGAATATACCACGAGATGATGCGGTTGCTGTGGTAAGCACTCTTTTTTTGTTGTTGAATACATTAAAACACACTCCTTTTAGTGATTTCCTGGGCCTTATTTGATTTTTGAAAATACAGATTAACATGTTAGCATAGTGCATTTTCCAATTATTCCCCGATTTGGATTTCCCCTAGATCTGGAAAAGTTCATCCTTTTCTGCAGAAAGAAAAGGGTCACTGAATCTCATATCATTGTTCCAGGAAACTGCTCCCTTTTGAATGGACTACATGGAAAAACCAAAGAGTGCCTATACTGGTTTTAGTTATGAATATGTCTGGTGCTGGATATTTGCAAAAAAGTTGACTTTGTATCATGCTCGCACAGAGTAAATCAGGAAATATTGGTAGAGTATGTGAGACCTTTCCTCTGAGCAAGTTCAGACCCCAGTTTCTGAGAATAAGCTGTATAGTTATTGTGACAAAAGAGCCAGGACTGGGTGGCTCGGGAGGAAATGAAATTCAGTCCACTTCTTAGTACAGGGAAACCTGCCAAGAGTGACCACTCATGGGAGTTAGCAAAAGTGGTCGCTTGTAAGAAGTGGTCTCTTTAAAGTTTGCAGACCAGATGGTGGTGGTGTTCCATGGCCTCTGCAAGTAGTCACTCATGACAGGCGGTCTCTCTCCAGGGGTGATCGCTAAGGCAGGTTCTACTGTAATAGGATAGGTGTCAGCATCACAAAAAACATTACAGTTGGCATCCTTATTGATAGTTTAGCAGAGAGGCCAAGGATGGAATGGGCTATTGAAATTGAACTACCCTCAGTCATCTCGAATAGTCCTGTGTCATTGTTGAGGCACGTTGGCGGGGCAACTTGAGGCTCGGCTTTCATTGCTGCTGCCTGTGCTCCATCTGCTCTGTGGATAGAGAGCTAACAGTCCAACTTCTTTACCTTGACCTGTTGGAGCAGTGGTTGTCGTCTGCAGGTCTGTGCGCTGGGTCCTGCACTAACATGCTTTTGTTATACCTTTGTCCCCGTGCCTCAGCCCTGTCTCTTTTGCTTCCTGTATCCTTTTTAATTCCCTTTGACTTTGGACCCCTCCCCTTTGAGAGGAAGGTTGTGTTTGATTCTCTGATAGTCCCTGCCTCCTCTACAGAGGTTGAATAGACCTGAATTTACCTGCACTAAATTTAGTTTGTTCTTAAAAAAACAAAACTCCAGCACTCCCTTTTTTGGCATGGAAGCATTCCGCACCAGGTGGCGATACTAACATCAACTCCCATCCTCCTCAAGGGGCTCAAACCCAGATACGAAGCTACCCCTGAGGAAATATGGTTGCATAAACCATGAAAATTTGATATCCCAGGTATAGCTTCTCCAAACATGTAAATAAAAACTGAGTTATAACACTTAGTGAAGCATATTAGTGTGAAGATTGTAGCCCTAGCTGTGATAATAGTTTCTTTATTCCCTGCGCAATGCAGTAGTTAGCATAGCTGTATCTGATGTTTCTTTGAAAGGTTAACATTCTCTTCTGTCCTTTGCCCCTCTTCTAGTGATTTCCTAGTCCCGGACTACTTAAACCAGGAGCAGGAAGAGACCCTCGGGCAATATGAGCTAGGAGAGCATGGGTTTGAAAGCAACTCCTCTGTCCACATGCCTGTCATTTCACAGGTCTCGTCGACTCAGAATTGCGAAAGCACTTTCCCCTTGGGGTCTTTGGGTGGGTTGGCAGAAAAAGAGGAAGACATGCCGGAGCAGCCAAAGACTAATGCCAGTGCCGAGGCAACCAGTGATGACCCCCCGAAATCAGAGCTGTCCTCTATTACTATTGAATAATTCATGGTTTGGTTTCATTTTTGTTCTTTGGAAAGTGCCTGTGTTTGGTCCTGTACATTTTAATTTAATTTTTTTAAACAAAAGGAGGGAGATTTCCCTTTTTACTTTGTAAGCTACACTTCAAACAGAAAACTGCAACAGACGTTACATTATTTTTCATGACTGAATGATCAGTTCTGTGAAAATGTTTAAGACTGAATGCACAATAAGGTCCTGTCAGAGCATCATAGAAGCTGTGATGCACTTCTAAAGAAGAAGCAATCGACTGAAATCACTTCAACTTCCTTCTTCCACAATTAGAACAGCTCATTAAATTTCTAATGCTTCTGCAGACCCTCTGGTAAAGGGAGAGAATCAGAAGACACTTTTAAAATGACCAGTACAAGCATGCATGCTCGCAAGTTAATTAATGAGCAGAGTTTTGACTAACTTTAAGTAGATGTGTTAATCCTCTGCTTAAAATATGGCATGTCCTGTCTTTGTCCTTACTGTTTTTCAAACTGCTTACTATAACCCTTTTTTTTGGAAATCGTAAGCATTTCTGAAATATAACAGTACTGTCCTTTTAAAAAATGTCTCTTTACAAAAAAATCTCTGAATCAGTTCTGACAAATTGAGTGATGATGCCATGCCAGGTCCTCCCACTTCTGATATTCCACTCCGCTCATTCAAATAACCTATCCTGATTTGCTTATATGGGGCGAGGCATACAGTCAAGGAAAGTATAAATCCATGCAAGCCTGACAAATCTGTCATCACTGTATCTTTCTGTAAAGGAAACCACCTTTAAAAAAAAGAAAACGTGTCCCAGACTAAAATTCTTAAACCTTGGCCAGACTGCTTGCAGTCCTACTCACTTTCCCCTATCATACATATCACTAATCTCCAAAAGCTGGCTAGAGAGAGTTTACAGAAAGGAAAAAACAAGTTGTTCTTCTTTTGTGCATTATTGCACACTTTTGTGCTTATACATATGCATGTATACTTTCTGGGGTTTTTATTAGTCTGTTTTGGACAAAACAACCAATTTATTCTTTTTAGAGGCCAAGTTTCTAACCCAACAGGGGGTTGTTTATAAAAACCCTATATAACAATGTTAAATTGTTCCTGTTCCAAAACATTTTAAACCTTTGCCAAGTTAGTTTATTAAAGGCTGTTACTCCAGCTACGTACACAGCTCAAGCAAGCAATAAAGTGAAAGATTTGCAATTTCATTTTTTCCAGATTTAGAAATGGCTGTAAATTTTGGGTATGGGATTTTCAGAGCAGTGATTCTCATTTTGTTGCAGGCAGTTTGGGCTATAGTAAAGCTTAAAAATTTAAAGGAGGGATTGTATAAATTCTTTGGCTGCTGATGAAATTAACTCTCTTTGATACATAAACAGCTGTGTTCCACAACCCACAGCATGCTGAGAGTTTAAGTATTACCTGACCTTAGTATTCCAAGGGCATGTGTCAGACTCCCTTGGTTTTAGATCTACGTGGTAAACTCATACCATGGGTGTGAGTCCCTCTGTCATGCACACATTGGATTGAAAGGAGTTCAATCCTTGAGGGGGCCATTTAGGGATCTGGGGCAAAAATTGGGGATTGGTCATGCTTTGAGCAGGGGGTTGGACTAGATGACCTCCTGAGGTCCCTTCCAACCCTGATATTCTATGATTCTATGAAAGAGAAAAATAGAGAAATGTTTTTAAAAAAGGGAGGGAGAGGAGATGCAGAGCTCAAATGGCAAGACTGATTAGTGTGCAATGACTTCCGCAGTTCTAATGTATCTGTAGAACTATGAAATATCTGCTGATAGCAAATCAGTGTAAAGCTTGTTGCACATTGGTAATATTTTAAAAGGCTTCAATGATAACATACTTACACATTTCTAGTGTTTCTTTAAATAAGTTTTCCCTACCCTGTGTTTATGTTAAAAAAAAAAATTAATAAGATTCCCAGTTTTTTCCAAATTACTGAAGCTACCTTTTCCCCCCTGTCTCATCTGCAGAAAATGTCACAGCTACAATTCATCTTATATGTCTATCTTGGTCTTTTGTAAAGGGCTTGGAGCAGAACAAATTTTTATTCAAGATACTGTACTATGAAATAGGCCAGTATCCATTGAAGGGACTGGATCAGAGGACCAGTCCTCTTCCACTTCTGATTTCTATAATTAAGAATCCAGTGAGTCTGGACAGTGCCTGTTAAATATTTCTTCCCTCGCCCCCCAGTAGTTCAGGATAAAAGTAGGATCTGGTACTAAACTCTAATTCATGATCCTCTTTCTCTGTTACAGAAGCATAAGTCTTCCTTGTACATGACAATTTTTAGTCAGTCATAAGTTAAAAAGCACTTAGGTACACACACAAACTCGTACTTCACAGCTGGCCCACTGTGTATAATGCACAATGAATTAACACATCACACATGGATGGACTTATTCCTTCTGCCAAAAAAAGATGGTTTTCACCCAGGACAAGATCTGTCGTAACACATAATTCACTGATCATGAGATGTGCAAATGCAGAATACACACACCTAGAATAACTGATTTTTAGATGACTTAAAATTTTGTAGGATGGTTAACTGCTGTCTGAAATGCTGTGGAGAACACATTAAAACTTGGTAGCTACAAGGACTGTATTGTAGCTCTAATCTGTTCTTTGGTTGGTATTTGTAATTGTTTCCTGTTAATATATGTATCCCTTCTCCATAGAGAGGAGTCCAAATGAAATGTAAATCTTCTTTCATTTCTCTTTTCCGTGTCTTTCTGGAAGTGCTCAGTTCTTGGGAGTACTAATGTCCCTCAAAGGAGAGATTTAAAATGTTCTAACATTTTACATCAAGCTCTATTGCTGGATATCCAGGTTCTAAAGTGAGATAAATGTCTAAGTAAACTGAAAGCAGCAAGCCTTAGATTACACTGGGGATTAAACCTGAAACATAACTTCTTTAAAAGATGTTATCAGAGGGGTTTGATTCCTGGACTGCTTTTTCTAAAAATAGATACAAGGAATTAAGTTATATTTTGGTTAAAAAGTAAGTTGTTCAGAATTTCTTTCAAATAGAGGAGATTCGGTTTACTGAGGCTGTAGTACCCCTGGCAGCAACTGTTGAATTGACAGGTGTTCTCCAAAAGTATTCAGAAAGTGGTTTGAGTGCATTTTCCTTTTGCATAATCTTCTGGTGTACAGAGGACGATCAGTGCATTAAGTGGAAAATCCTTCCTTCCCCCACCTACTTACACTAGAAGAGGGCCCCGACTACCACAGACCATGGATGGTTCTGCTATATGGCAGGGAGCAAGATTCAGGGACATGGATCTGCATTCCCTACATGTTGGACAGTGCCTCAAGGCGGAGGGGAGAGGGTCACCTCTGGCTCCCCTCTCCCCCATCAGAGAGGGGAAGGAGGAGGAGCAGTTGCTTCAGCTGTGCGCTGGCCGATTTGGCCAAGTAATAGTTTCCTTTTGATGCTTGTGCACACAGCTCCCCAGCGATGGGGATACATTCGCATTGAAGAGATTAAACTTCCCCCAGTACTAATTGGAATGTCAGTTTTCTGCAACATAGTTTTATTATCACAGGTTAACATTTTTGTGTCCCTTATTAGTTTGTCTTTCTCACTACAATTTGAGTTCAGTTGTCAGGCTAGCAAGTACTGTGGTCAAGTCTCTCATACTGAGAGTTTAGTTGACTAGATCTTTGAAAATGGTTCTGGTTTTCACGAGGCTGAAAGGTGTGAACTTAAACTTTTAAAAAAAGTAATAGCTGCCAATGCAGTAAAATATATTTTATAAAACTATGGTCCCTAGGTACCTTATGGTATAAAATTTTATTGTTTTTAAGATATGGCTTTAAGTTTTTATATGTGGGCTTCCGTCATTTCTTGGTTGCTGGTTTTCCCCTCCAGTCCAAAGACTTCAGCGCATGAGAATTTTGCCATCCTGTTTTCAGGGCATACCCTGTAGCATTTTATATGCAATTTGGAGGGGTAGAGGCTTTGTGCACGCTGCCTGGATTGGCTGGCATAGGTAATATGCAGATGTAGGGAGCACCTTCTGTTCCTAGTTCATTGTGGGCAGAAAAAAGTACTGGTCTCACCATCAAATATAGGGTCGGACTGTGCCTCAACCACATCAGAGGTCACCAGCAGAACATAGTTGGTGCAAAATATTCAGAGGGAATAAACCGTAAAACGTGAACTTTTTAAAAAATACAACAGTAATTGTTAACGCTCTGGGTTTTTGTTAACTTGGTGCATGCTACAACAGTCATTCAGTATCCTACAGGGCTCGCCGACAGATCTGGTTGCACTAAAAAATAAAAATAAAAATAAATCAGTTTCTGGGGCTGCCCTCCTGTATGGACACCACAGTCTTCCTGAGGGTTGATAAAGTCCCCAGAGGAGATTTTTGACCATTTTGTTTAGCTGATGCATGCTTTTGATATTCTGACTATAGCCCTGCCTACAAGAAAGTCCTCAGTGGCTTCCTTGCCCTGCTGTTTCAGTGCCTTGACTCTCTGGGCACTGGCCTTTGATGGAATCCTTGAGCGGGGGGAGGGTAAAGCTGGAGGGAAAATGTGAATTAAATTATCATTGGGCTTCTTTGTGTGTTTTAGTAACAGTGCAACCCTTTTAACTGTGCCAGTCTCCAGTCACCAGCCGTATATCCAGTCGTCATCTCATACACAGTACAGCTTCTCTTGTTGACGCTGGTCACCGCTAGATTACTTGGCATGTTTATTGACTTAACAGAAATGTTTTTTGGTTTTGTTTTTAATGTATACGATGTTTAAATACACTTCACATTTTATATAATACTATCTGGCTATTAGTATTTTTCAGGAACCATAGTTCTTGGTGGCTATATATATTTTTGTGACTTTTTTGTAAACTAAGTGCCGTTTCAACGTTACAATCATTTTTAGAGTTCTTGTAATCAATGTGAATATCATGTTTTTTCAAATCTGTTCTGAGCCTGTAGTGTTTGCTTTGTGATCATATGTGTAATGTATATATTCTGTATAGTTACATTGTACTGAAATACTAGCTTGTTTGATATAAGAAAAGTATGTATTGGGTACTTTTTTGCTAGCCTGATTGTTTAATCTTTAAAAAAAATGTTTTAAAATACAAAAAAAATAAAAATCTCCAAACTGGTTCCCTTATAGATCAAAATTAGGGGGGGCAGGAGGAGGAAAAACTAGTTTTGAGTGTCTTTGGATAGAAACATGAAGCTAAGATTTTTCATTAAAATATTAATGTTTTATGGAGTATATACTTGCTTTGTGTCGTTACTTTACGTACGCCTAAGAGTACGGACAACAGACTCGATTCAGCTCGGCTGTAAGCAGGTGCAACTCTCAGTGGGATTTCAGCCTTTTATATTAGGGCTGACTTTGGTCTGAAGTAGTTAAATAGGGTGCAAAACTACTGTTTTCAACATCCTGTTCAGAAGGAAGGTAGCTTTAAACGAAGTGAGTATTAATGAGTGACCGCAGAGACTGCCTGAGTAAGGAGTATTATAAAGAAGTACCTGACATCATTTGACTTTCATACATGTGTGTATGATCCTTGCTATTCTTTTGCCATGTGTTCTGGAGGGGGAAGAAAAAAGGCACAGGGAAGGCTTCCTTCCTAATGCGGTTTTCCTGGTGGAACATCACTGGAAACAGGCCTGTTCTGAAAAGAACAATATTTAAAATGTCATTCGATGGAGTCTTTGCAATTGCAGCTACGAGCTTCAATTTGACCATGGCACAAGCTCAGAGGAAGGGGGCTTAAGCTATGCCATCTCTGTCACCCCTTACAATTAAATTAGGCCTGCTTTGACAAGTCCACACGGCCCTGGCTGTGCTAGAACACTTGGCTCTCCACATGGCTAGGGAACCAGTGTCAAGGCACTTGACTTCTGGAATAGCTTGACTGAAATGTTTAAAACTCTACCCAGCCACCTGCATATTTGCCATTCCTGCTATGGTCTGATGTGACTGCCAAATATGAGCATGCTAGCAGTCCAATCCTTGCTGTGTTCAGCATCTGAACTTGGGATTAGAAAACCAAATGGAAAAGCCAATGAGATTCCAGAGTACAGGGTAAGCATCCATGATGAGCTTTGGAGGGGTGGGTTAGGACAGCTTGAGTTTTACGTATTTTGTGCTCTTACTTTCCCCTTTGAAAACTTTGCCTCGTGACTGGTGTATGGTGTGGGAATCATAATGGATTTTGTTTGGGGAACGGCAGGGTTCTGGTAAAAGTGTTTTGGACAGATTCATGATTTGAGATGGAGGCCTTTACACTCTTCTGGTCATACTGTCCTGAAAATAGGAACCTTAGAAAGTCCCTGGGAAGACATTCAGACTGAAATGGGAAAGGAGCAGTGATTCTGAATGAACTGGCACAAATCGAAAACCAACATTCCAATATATGAGTCTCAGTGTGAACATCTGCTGAGATGAGAAAAGACCAATAGTGTGTGTTCCCTTGATAGATCTCAGGGTCCAAAGAGGTCACTTGAGTGTGCAGGCAAGCGGACTTTTGCAATACAAATATGCTAAACATGCATTTTAATTTGATGTGAAACTTTTTCTATATTAAAGACCTTGCCTTGGCAGTTGTACTCTGTCTTAGGGTGTCTCTACACTATAATGTGAGCCTAGGGTTAGTAAACCTCGAGTTAGCAGACCCTGAGTTTGCTAACCTAGGGCTTGAGCGTCTACACTTATTTGTAACCTCAGGATAGGAATTGCTCCTCCTGCAGGAAAGCTGGCCAGCGGGTGGTACTTAGGAACTTCTCTTCTTTGACCTTTCTTCATCCAGGCTCTGCCACATAGTTCCAGCAATTGCTCAGGAAATCCAACCTGTGACCACAGAGCCCATTGTGAATAACTTCTCAGTGCAGAATCAGTGGGGGCAGCACTGGCTCATACCAAGGTTAGTTATATGACCCTCAGTATTTGTTGGGTCAGTGTATTAATGACTTCAGTGCGTTCCAGCCTTGAAGAGACAGTGCCCTGTTCTAGGAGATATGATTAAGACTATGTCCAAGGGCTGATGGCTGTGGGTCTGCTGCCAAGGTGATAGACATAGAATGCAATGGAAGGGTTGGTGGATGTTATTCCCCAGGGAAAAGAAACTCCCAGCTGAGAACAAATGTCATGTGAAATAGAGCATGGATGATAGAGGAGACGGGTCTTGCTTTCATGGTCAAATCACTACTAGTTTCCTGAAACATTCTGATGAAAATGAAATTTTGACAAAAAATGGAAACACCTTTTTTTTTTTTCCAAAAAGGATCACATTTTCCACCTCCAACTTTAGTGCTTTTCCCATGACAGCATAAAATGACCCCCTTTTAAAAGCTTGATCCTGCACGTTGAAGGCAATGGGTAACACTGACACTGGCTTCAAAGGACCAGGAGCAGCCACTGCAGCCCCAGTTCATCAAAGCATTTAACCACGTGCTTCAAATCATCCTTATTCAGCAACACACTGTTATCTTGTGTTTGCGTGCTTTGCTGAATTGGGGCCTTAATGCTAGTAGCTTCTCGAACTTGTTTTCATCTGAGCGATCTTGAACTTCAGTTTTTAAAGGGCTTCATGGAAACTACATTAGATATTGGACTGGAAACCCCAGAAGAAGCGGCAATAAGGTGGACCAAGATAACATGGAAACGCACAATAGAAGCAGAATAGAAAGCTATCAGAATTACATGGGAAGAACCTAAGACTGCAGCAGGAGCCCAGCAAAGATGGAAGGCAGTGATGAAGACCCTATGTTCTGCATTGAATAGAGAGGCATGAGAGAGAGAGAGATGGAAACTATATTATTGTTAGGTTTCAGAGTAACAGCCGTGTTAGTCTGTATTCGCAAAAAGAAAAGTAGTACTTGTGGCACCTTAGAGACTAACCAATTTATTTGAGCATGAGCTTTTGTGAGCTACAGCTCACTTCATGAAGTGATGAAGTGAGCTGTAGCTCATGAAAGCTCATGCTCAAATAAATTGGTTAGTCTCTAAGGTGCCACAAGTACTCCTTTTCTTTATATTATTGTTAGTGTGTATTTACATGAAAACAGACCCATGAACTGTAGAATAAAATCCCGCAGAAAGAAGAGTCTGAAGCACTGCATAATAGACAACAGAACTTTAAAAAAGGAAGAAAAAAAAATCCCCTCCAAGTTCAGACTTCATCTTTCCCACAGTTTAACAAAAAATGCCTTTATGTAACGTTGGAGCTATAGTGATCAGTTTCAGGGTTGACGTGACAATAATTATAAACAACTGTTATGTAACCTCTTAGTTGATTGAGCTGAAATTAATAAATTTAAAGGAAAAGACAAACAAAAAAAGAATCCCTTTAGGGAGCTTATGTTTTAAATAAATAAAAATCTTTCAGGTTGACCTTTTTTGCAAAGTTAATGCAAACCCTGGATGAAAAAGCTGCTTGAGGAATAGTTGGCCAAAGGCGCTGCTCTTTAAAAACACTATTTATGTTAAAGGGAGAACCTTGTTTTAAGAGCTAGACACATTTGAGTCTGAAACAGGGCGGTGGTGTTTAATAGTTCATTTTTATGTCAGTTTTGTTTACTTTGTTTAAAACACTTTTTAAAATTTTTTAACATGGGAGCTAGGTGTAAATCAGCCAGGTCCATTGCCTACAATGGAGATACACCTACTGAGGATATGGCCTATATATATATAATTCCCCCTTTGTTTGCCTTTTGCCATCTGGAAAACATTTCCAGGTTTTTGAGTGGAGCTCAAGTCAACATGGCTGGCCTGTGCCAACTGTCTCAGGCTTGCAGGGCTGGACTATGGGGGTATTTAACTGCGGTGGAGATGTTCAAACCCGGGCTCTGGGACTTGGGGAGGGGAGCCTGAGTCCAATTCAGCTGACATGGGGCAGCTGCGGGTGTTTAATTGCAGTGTAGACATACCCTAGGAAGCCAAGACTGAATTTAGCATATGCTTTTCTGTCTCCAGAGGTGTTTCATTCGCTCAGTTACCAGTGACATGTTCTACTGCGTGCTGCTTACTGAATCAACTCAAGCAATCCAAGTCCCTTTCCAAACAGACCCCGATTAACCTCATTCTTCCACGCTTCCTTTAGCCCTTTATGTCCTGTGCACAGCCACACCTTTCAAGAGGGAGCAGGGTAAACTAATTGAGTGAATTTAGTGTCTCTGTGCAATGTAGATGTTCTTATTTGATTTGAATCTGTTCAGTTACATTTGGTTTTCTGCTGTTTATTGTTTAAATGACAAGACCCTACTTTGTAATAGTTCCCAGAGGTGGAGTTCTATGGCATTTAAATCAGGGGATGTGGACTCAGGAGGCCTGGGTTCTCTGCCATCAATTTGCTGTGTGACTTGAGTAAGTCACTTCGTCAGTCCTTGCCTGTTTCCCTATCTGTAAAATGAGGATAATGAGACCTTGCCTTTATTTGCAAAATTCTTTGAGATCTTTGAAGGAAAGGTGCTGTGTCAATGTAAAGGCCACACTTAAGGGTGCTGTTATGAATGTGTTTGCTAAGGGTAAAATTCGCCCCTCTGTATTTTCTAAATCCCACTTAAGCCCTGTTTTGAGGATGTAAGTGGTACATGGGCGTTGTGCTGGCCCTCTGCTCAGGGGTGAATTTCACCCTAGATACGTTCATGTTCTGGCTGCAACATGTCCTCACTAGTGCTGTTTAGTCACTTGGACACTGCAGTGATTGGCCTGGCATTAAACCTAAATGAATGGATTGATCACGGCAGTATGCTGATTGTCTGTGCAAGTCTGATCTTAACAGGAGACGCATCCTGCCACCTCCAGCAGGTCAAGTCCCTGACTTAAGCAAATAGTTTTGAAGTATTCCTGTGTAATTTCTTGCAGTTTTGCTTAACCTTTCAACTCTCTCTTCTACTGATATTCAGCGTGGTCCAGCAGTTAGGGCACTGAATTGGAATTCAGTAGGCCATCTGCCACTGCATGAACTTAGGTAAGTCACGCCACCTGTCTGCCTCAGTTTCCCCACCCACCTTCATCTTGTCTACTTAGTACCTGCCCTGAAGAGCTTACAGTCTCTTTTATTAGGTGTATGTACAGCACCGGCACGACTGGTCACAATCTTAGCTGGACAATCTGGGTGCTACTGTCATGCTGCTAATAATAATGATTTGGCTGATTATTTTTAGTTGCTCCTTTGATTGCTTACTTGAGTGAGAGCTCACCAGGGGTCAGGAGTTACTCTCCAATTTTCTTACAGCAGGAATTTTTTTTAAAGCCCTTCATAA